TCATCCCTTAGTTATGCTGCTATAGGCCTAGACTGCCAGGGGATTTCCCATGATGCATTGAGCGTCTCTCTCCTCTACTTTCTCTCCCTCTGTATGCAACCTCTTCCCATTATTGCATGTTACTAACACAACTTCTCCCCTTTCCGGTAGTCTTGTGCTTTCTCGTCCCTCTCCTCTCTCCTCCTATGACTTCCTGCAGGTGTTTCTGGCTCTGGAGCTGTGGAGTCTGGATCTGTGGCTGCGGGTCACCTGATGCCCCCGTGTTCCTGCTCGACACCTTCTGCTACAACAACTATTGTTACTAGTCCTATTGTTATTATAATCATTAACATTACGATTATTATCATTAACACTACTATACATATCTATACCATTTTTCATTTAGTCATTTAGTCTATAGCAACATCACCTTTACTGTCTGTACCTCTGTGTGTATATTGTGTAGGCTGCCTCCCTCCCCTCTCTCCTTCCATCCCTCTCTTTTTCTCTCTGTTCCTCTCTTGCCCTCTCTCTCTCTCTCTCCTTCATCCCCAACCGGTGGAGGCAGATGGCCGCCCATCCTGAGCCATGGTTCTGCTCGAGGTTTCTGCCTCTTAAAAGGAAGTTTTTCCTTGCCTCTGTCGCCTAGTGCTTGCTCTTGGTGGGAATTGTTGGGCTTCTGTAAATAACATCATAGAGTACGGTCTAGACCTGCTCTTTTATGAAAAGCGCTGTAAGATAACTGTTGTTGTGATTTGGCGCTATATAAATAAAATTGAATTGAATTGAATAGATGAGGAGACTCTACTCCAACAAGGCTGCAGGCCCTGCAGTGTCCGTCCCGGGGTGCTCAAAGCCTGTGCCCCCCAGCTATGTGGAGTCCTCCACCGTGTCTTCAACCTGAGCCTGAGTCTCCGTAGGGTCCCTGTGCTGTGGAAGACATCTTGCCTCGTTCCTGTGCCAAAGACGCCACGTCCCATTGACTCCAAGGACTACAGATCTGTGGCACTGACCTCCCACATCATCATCTGGTTCTGGATCAGCTGCGGCCCGTGGTCAGCCCTTTTCTGGACCCACTACAATTCGCCTACCAGCCCCGATTGGGAGTTGAGGACGCCATCATCTTCCTGCACAACCGCATCTACGCCCATCTGGACAACCGTTTCATTAGCACCCGCAGTGTGTCTCAACTTTACTGCACAGGTTCGACCCCCATACAAAGCTTCGCGGGGTGAGAGAGGTTGAGGAGCTTTATACTGTTTGAGAAAATCTTTTAACCCCTGATGTGATTTTTTCATCTCGGTCCATGTGTGCTCTCTCATGACAATCACTTTAGCATTGTGGATGGCCTGTAACTCACGTAATTTCTCCTCGCTCCTCGCATGCATCTCCTCAAAAGGGTGGCCGGTCAAAGGATTGGTCTCATGAGCTTTGAAACAACTCGGACAGCCATGGAAAAAACATCCCAGAAACTCCCATACATATTTCACACCTTGGATCTCTGCAAAACCATCTACAAAGTATTTTCCTAGTTGTTTTTCCCCCTCATTTAAAGCATGTTGAATGAAGATGTTTTCGGTGCTAGCCACCCAATGCAGCCACTGTATGCCTGCGTTCGAATACGTTTTGAACTGGCGTGTGTAGTTATTGGGATCGGGGATGGCCAAACTTTTAGGAGGAAGGAAGTTGGTCACAAACACTTTCATGCATGCAGATGCTATAGTCGCGCGGCTAAAAGGGTCAACCGCTGTTTCATCAATATACTGTTTTCTGAACAGCTTGCATCCCTCTGCGAGAATCTCAACATCGTTTTCACAATAGAGGCGGGCCTCTCTCATGAAATCAAATGTACCGCAGCGCGCCGTCTCGTACCAGGTGTTAAAGTCTTTCAGCTGTACCGTAGTCATGCGTTCTGTACCGTACATTTTTGGCTCCGGGTAGGGACCTGTGTAGGTCAAATGGGCAGGTGAGCTAAAATTATGGGGAAAATAGCCTTTAATTCTGTCATCAAAACCGAGAGCTTTTGGCATATCGGCTAAACGCATGGAAAGAAAGGACAGTGAGTTAATGTATTTTTGATTAAAATCAGGATCTGTCATACAGATGACTTTTGAACCTTGCAAAATCAAAGAGGGTTTTAATGCTTGTTCAAGCATGGCGTTGAGGAGTAGGTAGGAGTCAAAACCTCGAGCATTGTGAGCAATAAACACAGCATTTTTGTACAGAGGGCGTCTGAAATGCGTGAGAAACTCGTTGGCACAATTTCTGCCTTGAGAGCTCCATGTTTTGCCATCTAACGTTTTTGTACACACCAAAAAGGGTATGTGAACGCCATTTTCATTGACGTATGTTTCAAAATCATAAAACACCAATTTTTCTGTGTGTTTTGTTTCAGGTGGTAGTGTCTGGATGTAGCATTGGTGCATCTCGCTCTTATCTGTAACGTCAGAGGTCAACTTCTCACCACAGATTTTACACTTCACCGCAGGACATGTGTGTGGTTTACCTTCACCACTCATCGCTGTGTAGTAAAGCTGTGCACATTTGTTACATTTTTTGTACAACGAGCACGTGCTGGCTAATTTTTTGGCTCTGGGCCTCTCTGTAGGCTCTTTGTGCTTTGTCAGACAGAATTCTGAACGACATGTCCTGTTACACTCTTTACACACAATAGGCTGGAACCCCTTCTGATTACAGGTAGGGTCAAAGCAAACGGAACAATGAGCAGGGCATCGGTGACTCAGCACACCGTTGTACCCTGTGTAACAGTACTCACACAGATATGGGGAACCCAGAAAGGCCTTTAGATTTTTTATACCATAGTAGTGTTTCTGAAAGAGAAACAAAAATAGGGTTTTACTCTGTCTTGGGCTTTTGGTCATGAATTTACAGAGGGCCCTATCGTCGTCTCCTCTATAAAACACTACAATTTTGCAGTCCAAAGCACGTTCAAATCGCGTGATGTCGCTTAAGGCTACAGGTGTCTGTTCATCCATTCCCACTTTGTTTTGAATCTCTCTGCCGCATTCAAGAGCCTGTCTATCGTTGAGGAGGGGATGTAGAAGATGAGCCAGACAGACGGCGAAACACAACTGATTCCCCTCGTTTTCTACAATGTACAGAAAGCGCTGTTTTTTTTTAAAGATTTCGCATTGTAACATTTTATCCACCATTGCTCTTTTACCCGCGCCTGTTTACCCATCCTGTAAGATAACTGATACATTATTACGGAGATTTTCACCTCTTAGCTCCAACTGCACCACATCTTGGGGTCTCCTGTGTGACAAGGCTTGTTGTAAAATCACATCTACCTGCTCCAGTGTACCATTGTAAAACTGAGCATAATCCACTACACCCTCTGCATTGGTTGGAGAAGGAAAGCGCAACACCTGACGTATTTCATAATTACAGAATCTATGTCGTGATATGACTCTTGCTTGAGGTGCCACAGGGTCATTATTTTGAGACACGCTGCCCCCTTGCTGTTGCAAGGGAGGAGTGTTGGCTACCTGCTCCGTGAGGGGGGAGTTAATGGGGGTCTGATAGGTCGAGGATGTAGAGGGGTTTAAGGCAGGGATTGCATTATTTTCAAGCTCGGAGAGAGCATTTTGTATTTGAATCAAGAGGTCTGGAGACACAGATGAGTTTAAGACAGGAATATGCTCGGGTTCGGGTAAAGAGGGGATGTTGTTTTGGTGAAAGGGTTCATTCATTTGGTTGATTTCATCTAATAAAGCAGTTGGTATTTCATTTTCTAAGCGTTCCAGATCAACGAGAGCTTGATTTATAGCGTGTAACGGATCTAAGAACTGACTGGAGGAGGTCTCGTTTTCAATTACACTATTTTCAGTTATACCATTTTGAAAGTTTGACTCATTCTGATAATGTTGATCTACCTCGTCTGATAAACTCTGCCTAAGCCCTAACGGTTTGTTTTCATCCATTATCATAAAATCAAAACACACTTAAACCTTAAAACAGACACTATAAAAAACACGATAAACACGTTTATCTAACTATTGCAAGTGAAAATCAACAATAAAAACAATTACCCAATGAAACAAACAAAAAAAAATCATTTAAAACAAATTCAGATAAATCACCTTACTAATTATGTTCACTGTAGACAGCCAGCATTTCACCCATTAGTCGGAAAGCATTACTCATTAGAACTAGTTGTTCATGGGCAGTCCGACAGCAATTCTGACAGCCTCTCACGGATCGTCGGGGTCTGTTTGCTGGAGGGACACAAAAACAAAGACACTTTAACCTCTTTTGTGTATTTTAATACAGAAAGTCAGGCATCACCCCTACAAATCACTACATTAATACTTTGTAGCAAACAAGCAAACTAGTTTTTTAACTAAATACCCTGAATGTCAGACATCAGTACCAAAACACTGTAGAAGTGCAAAACAAACGAACAAACACCACAGTAATAGCCTACTTTATGAAAAAGAAGCAAAATAGCTTTTAGAGTCAGGTTAACTCATAAGACTACTTTCTGCATAGAACATTTGACATGCTGTTGTATTTGAGAAAATAGTGTGGAATACTTTTAACTCATTAATTGTATAGCCTAATAATCAGCAACATGGTATCACGGGAAACTGTGTATATAGGCTATACTTTTTTTATGACTGCATATTTTCTAGGTTAATGGTTTTAGAGCGTTATAACAATTTACTTACTGCTGCTCCTACTACTGCTACTGCTACTGCTGGTTGAAATGAGCCTTCTACGGTGTTCCCTTTTCCGAGGTCCGTTGTTCGGTATAGGCTCAGCCTGATTCAGCGGCGTACACGGTTCTGCTGGGTCCGGATGAATGATTTCCTCCGCTGTCAGTCCCCGCGCTTCTACCGGTGATCCGTTACGTGACCTCCCATCTGCGGCCTGACTGGAGCGCTCTACATCATCGACGGGTGATTCCGGGGACAAATCCGGCTCATCGTGTTCCGGGGAGCCCGGTGTTATGTATGCTTGCGGTACCGAAGCCAAGGGCTGATCCGATTCCGGAACCGGACCGTTCTCCTCGTAAAAGGTAGGGGAGAGACCCTGCATAAAGTACCGTTCACAATCGCTCGCACCATCTGTGGGTGTAATGAAAGAAAAGAGTACTGTTACCACATCTGCGTAAAAGTTTGTAAATAAATAAATAAAACCTACACACTGATTAAAAGTTAAGGTAACCTTACTTACCGACTTCTCCTGTGAGATCTACAACCTGCGCTGATGGAATGCCATTCTCCCTTGTAGAACCTATTTCCTCGCCTGAGTACAAATCTGTAAAAACAATATACAAAATACACATCAGGATAGTACACTTTAAAATTTAGAACATTTCTATTTCACTCTAGTACATAGAAGGCCCTCTTACCTTCAAGTTGATATTCGGTTGAATGAAGCCCATTGTCGATCAAGTCAAAAACTGTTAATTGAAAACACGCAGGAATGAAAATACAAAGTGTCGATTTTTGCTATTTCTTAAGTTACGGAGGAAAGGCTGAATGCGTACCGTGTTCTCTTTGAAGGGTCATCGCTCTGGTTTCAGGTCACTAGTGTGAAGACCTCAGGATTTCTGGTAGGGTACTTATAGAAGAAGAAAAAAAAAAAAAAAGAAACAAACAAACACACGAGTGCTGCTCTGCATGTCGGGTTGGGGGCCCTTACTTCTGGTACAACCAGATTATTATTTAAACTCTTGGCTCCGGCTGATAAAAATAGCTTCCTGTTTCGAAAACGAACTCACGAACTCTGTCTGCTAAAACCAGACCGTTTTTTTAACATCCGGAGTCTGGGTTATAGATAACCAAAGTTAATAACTGGTCTACAAGATTACCTGAGGATGGCAGCTAAACACACAACACGCCTAATTGAGAAAACAGAGGGAGGTGTTCCACGACTCCCCAACACGACTCGTTGAGAAAACAGAGGGAGGTGCGGGGTGGGAGGGGGTGGAGCACATTCCTCAATTCACCCCACAGCCTATGCTACACCAGAATGAGAGAGGACAGAGAAGAGGAGACACAGACTCTAGAAGGATTAAAGTTTTAAGACTCACAAGTTTAAGACTAGGCTACAGCTTTGGAGTGATAATGATGGCAAGTTTGTAAGACAAAGCAATAGCAAAGTAATTTGGAACACTCTCTTATTTTGCTGCATGCTGTTGAAGGTAATTTGTAATGCTGTTTAATTTTTACTCACAGTTATACCATTTTACTGCTTTACTGTCATTATTTCAATTTATTCTTCACTTGTTTACTGATGGTAAGTTTGTCACACAAAGCTTTAGCAAAGATTTTGAAGGTAATTAAAAAATGCTGTTTAATTTTAACTCACTGTTATACTATTTTACTGTAATTATTTCATCTTATTCTTTAGTTCTTTAATGATGGTAAGTTTGTCACACAAAGCTTTAGCAAAGATTTTACAAAGTTTAATTTTGGAACTCACTCTTATTTTGCTGCATGCTGTTGAAGGTAATTTATAATGCTGCTTAATTTTTACTCACCGTTATACCATTTTACTGCTTTGCTGTCATTATTTCAATTTATTCTTCACTTGTTTAATAATAGACTGACTTGACTGACTTGATTCCAAAGAAACCTCCTACTGATCCTTTGCTGGCCCCGGAGATTCCTCCTTTTACTTATAACTCACTGCTATACTTTTTTAATGATAAATTTATTGTCACAAACACCTCCTAGTTAATTCATTCAAGTTGTATTACTTAATAAAGTCTTTAAATCAATGAAAAACACACACAATGGAAGGATGTACGCAACCCTCTTATCAGTTACATACAGACATATTTCCGGCTGGGGTGGGACAGGATGAACCCCCTCTTATCAGTTACATACAGACATATTTCCGGTTGGGGCGGGACAGGATGCACCTCCTCTTATCAGTTACATACAGACATCCGGTGTGGGGGCGGGACTGGAAATAGCTGTCAAAAATGAGTTTGATGGAATGTATTTGATACTTCTCTCTTAAGTTACTTTTGCAGTGTTTTCATTTTCAGCAAGATTAAGGACACTCCTTCATCTAATGTGTAACCAATGCTTGTTCACAATACTTTCTCACAAAATTCCTTTAGAAATGATGATAAAGAAATGTCATACTATACTCTATTAATTATCCAGCTTGAATTTAAGGCTGAATTCCCCATTTCCTAAGGAAATATTGTTTTGGGTTAATCTAAGCTTTCCTCATGTAACCTGAGCTTTCCCAAGTGGACGAAATAAGTATTACATACCATCGTCGTAAATGCCGTTAATGTTTAAATGTCACCCACTTATCCTGACCAATAATGTGACAATCGTTTTCCTGTTACCAAATGCTTAACTTAGAACGGTACAACCGTTTGACCATTAAGGTTTGATTGTGGAAAATATCTGATTATAATACGCGCAAATGGATATTTTATTTAGACATTTAAAGTTTAGAAAGGCAGTCCCTCGGGAAACCGGAAATGCTCCCTCGGGAACAAAGGACTGCCCCCTGGGGGAACCACACCCCAGACAACAAAAACGCGACACGCGATGTCGCTCGCTCTCTCTCTCTCTCTGGCTCCTCTCCTCCCCTCAGCTCTCTGGACGCTTTGGCACGCGTCTGGCGTGCCTCTCCAGGCAACGCACTAAGAGTTCGACCAGAGTTCGCTTGAAGCTGCACACGCGAAGTGCCGTGACATCAATCTGCCCCTCAGTTTGTTTTATTTTCTTTCTTTCTTTTGTTTTGTTAAAGTTATCAGTCCGTTAAGTAATACTGGACTAATTCAGGAACGACCTTTTTAAGCTTGTTCGTCGAGCCATCTTCACCGAGGTCAGACCAAGCCACGTGGTCTCGCCAGCGGCAACGAAGGAAACCTGAAAACAGCCGAATTGCCAGACGGAGGACAGCCACCCTTCCGTTTTTTTTCTTCAGTCAGACACGGAAAACCCTGGAGAATCCCTAGCAAAAAGCCAGGATCGGGCAGCTAGCGTGGGACCCGTGCAACAGGCCAAAGCAGGCCGTCGACAAGCCGTAAGACCTAACAAACATTCTGTGGTCAGGGATGTCCGGTAATGTTAATATTTCCCTGTTAACTCCTAAACTCATAGCTTACTTTCATTAGTTCTCCTCTGCCGTATGAGTCAAATGCTTCCCACAATCGAACCTCCATTTCTCATTGTTCAGCCATTGTTTATTTTCCCTGTATTTAACCACCGGTTTATATCGCTTTAGTTAACGTTAGTTAATAAATTCACTGTAATCAAGAAACTGTGTGTGTTGCCTATTTCCACGTCCCGGCCAAGAGAATTGACCCTTTAGATATGAGACAGCTTGATTGATTTAAGATACTTTAGCGATTATTAACTAACTGATCACTAGTAATAATTGTATAATTATTAAAAGCTACCTAGAGGTCTGGAGACTCTAGGATTATAACAACTCCGGTGGTGCCCCGAAACGAGAAATTAACAATTGGGTATTAATTCTCATAAATTTATTAAAATTCATAACTAATTTATCCATGCTACAATCCCCACCAGAGATGAGCCTAGTGAGGGTGGTGTTGTCAGTATGTTTTCTTCGCTAAGAGCTGTTGCTATCTAACTAGCTAAACTCCTGTATGCAAAATGATGACTTGAGTCGCAGTTAAGCTTTTCTTGCTGTTTACTGTGGCTGTCAACATCATCTTACACAGATAGGTGAATACTGCAACAAAACAGAGGACCAACATCTCCATTTTTTAGCTGCATGGGTTTTCTTATGTGAATATATACACACACACACACACACACACACACAGTGGGGAGAACAATACACTGCTGATTTTGCAGGTTTTCCTACTTACAAAGCATGTAGAGGTCTATAATTTTTATCATAGGTACACTTCAACTGTGAGAGACGGACTTTAAAACAAAAATCCAGAAAATCACATTTTATTTTTAAATAATTAATTTTTAATTTTAGCTCGACGTGACCGAGTTAGCTCATGCTAAGGAGCTAATGCTGTATGCTACTTTCCGTTAGCAGAGGTAGCTTATAAACCCCCGGTGCTGTACGGTGGAGGCTGGAACCTGTGCCTGTTTTGTTACCAGTAGGGATGGGACGCTCGATACTGACGTGTCGACGCTTTGACGAGTTTCGAAAAACTGCTTCAAAGCGTGATTCAAAACGTCAATGTCACGTGACCACAGTGAAGGCTTCGGTGCGTTTCACCCCTGTTTCGAAAGGTGGCACACTTGCTGCTTCTACGCTTGATTCACAGTGTTTTGAACAAACTGCACATCAGCCTCTAACTCATTTGACAGATTTGTTCCAAGGACACACAATCATTTGATTTATTGGAGCGACCTGCTGTAGTATATTCGCACCTGTGGGCCACAAAATACTTTTTGCCAGCAACAAATGTTCCATGTGACTTTTTTAAATTTTTCCAAGGCTGGGTATGTCAATTATGAAAAAAAAACGACTAAATAAATAATAAATTTAATAAAATATAAAAATTCTTGACATATAACAAATGTGAGACATTGTTCCATTTTTCATTTATCATTCTTGAAACAACTTCAACTTTACTCAGTTACAGATTTTTAATCCATTATACCTCACTGCCAGCACTATTATTAATTATTATTACACTAGGGCTTATATCTTTTCTGCTAATTATCATTACACATCTGTTAATAAGCTAATGTGTAATACTGTAGATTTCCACATTTATTACTATATTCTTAGATTTGTATGCTTTATTATATTCTCTATTCACTAACTTCAACTTTGTTTCTATTCTGTTTAGGACTTGCGAGTATCTGCAACAAAGAATTTACCCTCGTAGATCAATAAAGTATTTCGATTGTGAAAATAGATAGGGTAGTGGTTAAGACAAATGCCTTTAGTGTGAGAGATGTGGGTTCGATTCCCACTGTGATACATGTGTCCCTGAACAAGACACTTAACCCCTAGTTGCTCTCAAGGTGCGCCCTCTGACACAGCAATTGTGTTTTGCTTTTGAGAAAAGCGTCAGCTAAATGAGTGATTACTTCTGAAACAACACACAGATGTGTTTTATTAAAAAGATTTTTATTGCAATCCCCATCTGCTGTCTCTGACAATCTGAAAGCATTTTTTTGTTTGTTGCATGGTGATTTCTCTGAAATCCTGTTGGTCATGTATTGAGAAGATGTTTAGAATTGTAAATGCTGGTCAGTCATTGTTTCAATGAAACCCCTACCAAGATGTGTCGATATCAAAAGTGACCAATAGGTGTCACCGTGGAAACGGGTGTCGAAGTGTTTCGAAGCCTCGACACAATTCCAGCACAATTGCTTCAAACGTTTCAATGTTTCACAAAGCCTCGCTTTGCCCATCACTAGCTAACAGATGGCGGACTGAGTGCTAGGGGCCTTTCCGAAACTAGACCCTCGCCATTTCCACTCCAAGACGGAGTGAACTCTGAACGGAGTCACCATCACAGCCAAATCCAGCTCCCTAACCCGCGTAGGGTTTAAATACAGCGACAACTTTCTGTCTAACTACCCTCTCCCCACAGTGTAAATAGGATCTGACGCTACCGCTGCACTCACTGCTATAATATGCGTATCAAATAAATAACAATTGTATTAAGATTCAGGATTGATGTTGAGGAAAATAGTGTTTTTTACAATAACGAAACTGAAAGAATTTGTCATTCATTTTGTGGTTGTGTTCCTGTCGAATATTTCTTTAAGAACATGATTTTATATATTTATTAAAAATAAATATTATATTCTTTTATGAAAAGATTTTTATTCTTAAAAAAAAAGCCTATATATTTGAACCTCTTAATCTTAGCCTATATTAAAAATGTTACATTTACAAACACAACATTTCAATATAAATCATACATTATATTGAAGTATATAAAGACTTAGGCTAACTATTTTTCCTTAATGCTTTTGTTGCTTGTTACATAGCTTAATCCCCCTGTGTATCCCGTTGTGTCAATGTTCTGTTATTCTGTTGTTTAATGTAGGCTAAATAGCCTTTTGGCTGAAGATTTTCATATAAGATGAATACGATTCAATAAGACAACGTTTGTATTGTCTCATCAGACAAGAGCATTTTTTTATTAAACACAAAATACTAAAATTAGCGATTTGCACTAAAACCATTTTTTGAACCAGGCTGTAAACATGTTTGATTCTGCTGTAAAGTTGGGCATTTTAATATTGGGGTTAGTGGAGATGGACTCCCTTCTGCAGCCAGCCTCAAGTGGCCACTTGATGAATTGCAGTTTCAGATGCTTCCATATTGGCTTCAGGCGGGAGACCGGAAGTTTGCCGCTAAGGCGCCACAAATAAATGCATGGGAAACACTGTACTGGATATCACTCACCATATTAGCCAGTAAACACAAACCCAGTAATAAACAAACAGAACGGAAGTTAACTTCGGGCCGGGCTCGTCACCTTGGCAAAAATAACTAGACAGACTACAGATGTGAATGTTAGGGTCGCGAAATATTTTCAACTTCAGAAAGGGGTCAGACTGCCAGAAAGGTTAAGAACCCCTGTCCTAGAGCATATCCCGTATCAAATGTCTTTCAAAATAAAAACATTCTTAACATTATGCCTTTAAGGGCAACACAGTCAGTAAACTTACAGAAGCTGGAGGTACTAATGACTAGAGGTAACCTCATTTTGTTTGTAAAGGTTAATCAGCATTGTGATGTTAACTTAAACCTTGTCCTTGACAGTGACTCTGGAACATTTCTTGGCCTTGGAACTGTGACAGGATCAGTGGCAATCTACATCGCTTTCTCCCTACAGGTAAAGGCCATCTGGACACATCTCAAACTAACAGGTACATAAATCAATCTAGCAGCCTGCTGTATGATAACTTGGTCTTACTCTTTGTGTTTGTAGAAGCTGTATTATGTACAGGAGTCCCATGGCATTGTTGTAACAGACCTAGCCTTCCTGCCTGACACTCTGAAAGGCAAAAATATCAAAGGGACTAATGAAACCGCCATGTTGAGTGTAGCTGTGGACAGCCGCTGTCAAGTCCATGCTGTCAGCAAACGAAGTAAGTCCTGCATCATCATCCAATGAAAATACTAACATAATAACCTCAGACTTTCTCACCTTATATTTTGTGCCTTTATTTTGCATTTCTTCCAGGATCCTTTCCTATTTGGCTGGTGCTGTTCTTCTGTGGGCTCATGGTGGTGGGAGGAGTCCTCCTTCTGCAGTACCTCTTTCCAGGATTTATTTAAATCATGCAAGCGTTGTCGCATGTCAGAGTTGACGGAGCTCGGACACATCTTCATTTGCCTTACTTTGCCGCTGTCAACATCAGCATTCCTCAATCCAACATCCAAACCTTGTACTGCATCACAACCCCCAGCTGAGCCTATGAAGGCTATTCCAGCTTTTATGGCGCCCTGACATTGTTCCCCGTCAGCTCTTACTCAGGGTTGTTCTTCTCAGACCTGTAAACCCAGTTTAGTCAAACCAGGACAGACTGGGATTTTATTTGCTTTCATCTCTATCAATTAACATAACATTTTTTGGAGTGGCTCAGGTTTGTGAATGTTAAAGGGTGGGATCTTATCTTTATATTGACATATGTAAAAAACATCTATAAATGACTGACACAGAAAGTGTCTGATTTAGTTTTGTTGTTTACACCTAGACACTTTGAATTAGCCATTCTCTTTGAAAAACTACTTCTAGGGCTTTTATTTTTACATTTGATCCACTAGTGGGCAGCAGAGACCAGACAGTTTACAGTCCTCTGGTAAAGGGCTGCCGGTGAAGATAAAATAGCATGATAAAATATCTGCTAGTCTTAGTACATTGGATTTTTGAATTTAAACATACTGCTAAATATTTAGACTTTGACAGGGTTGCCCAGTGTCAAGTAAACATTTCAGCAGAAAGTTGCAACCTACAAATGAAGAATCAACTGATATTATTCCAAAGAACCAGATGTGGGAAAGTACTAACGAAGTTGCTATAAGGCAGGAAGTTTGTGTAAATGACACGAAATGACGATGTTATTTTTACTAGAGTGAAAGCTGGATATTTCCTTTAATTTAATGTAAACATTCTGACTGCAGATATGTTGCCCAGCAGATATGATACCCATTTTATTGCAACTAACTTGGGGAAATTATAGAAGAAATAAAATATGAATAAGAAAGGTAACTTTAAAAAAAACAATTTTGGTCTTGTTATGGTTCATTATCCTGACCAAGTCTCTGGTCTGCAAACTTTACAGCGACAATAACTGTTTTGTTTTTTTGGCCATTTGGAACAGCAGAGACACGTTTACATACACTTTCAATTCAATTCAATTTTAGACGATGTTGACTCTGTGAGACACATGAATAATTAAAATGTTTAAAAAATCTTGTCTAACATTGACATAAACCAAATACAAAAAACCTTTGAATTTGATGAGATCATTTTAATACCCTTATTCCAAAACTCTATTTTCTATTTTGGCGAACACGCAATAAATAAATAGGAGTAACTTGAGACTCTACATTTTTTTTAAAAATCAATAATATTGTTATTATATGTATTTTGTTTAACAGGAGAGGAAAGACGCATTTCCTTGAAATGTTATACTTTACTGTGATTTTGCTCAAAGCTCGTGAATGTAAATTCTCTATATGAACTCTTCAAGACCTTTTTTTGACCTACTTCAGATGTGCCTGGTTTAAATGAAATGTTACCCAAATTTGCAGTAAAACTAGATAATGTATTTCTACAGAATTACAGAGATCCAAACCACTTCACTGTCAAAAGGAATTTAAAACACTTTTCAGAACAAGCATTTCTGTTTGATTTCTTCTACAGTGATATTGGGTTTGCCATGGCAATTCCTAATGCATGCCTGGTCTTAAATTAAAAAAATTTTGAGTCCTTAACAGGAACAATCCTTGGTTTTGTTGCTGAAATGTGAAATGGATGCTCCCTGGCACAAAGCGTGAATAACTAAATCATCCACTAATTGGCAATATTTTCGTCAGCAGTGTGTCACTGTGAAAAATCTGAAAGTAAAGGAAACCAACAACATTTTGGAAAACAATTACATCAGTATCACATAATCCTACTTCATCCTTACCCAATGAAATTGTTTCTACCTAAGGTTTTACCACTATCTCAGTTGGAGAGGAAATATGTGCTGCAATCATTTCCTCCCATTGTCTGTGATTATAATGGACCTTATTGGGCTAACAAATTGGGCCCTCAGACCTTTTCATTTAAGCTTTTTAAGAATCTTTGTATTCAAAAAAGTCACCTGGGCGAATCAGTTAGAACCAAGGCTTTTATTTAGGGCTTTCAAAGCTAACACGATAGTAACAAGTTAACGCAAATTCCTTTTTTGACGCACGATTTACACATGCACATTCTAAAATTATGACCCTCGGCCTGCCCCTGTAGTTTGGGAAAATAGAGGAAGCAGTAGAATAGAATATACTTTATTGTCCCCTAAGGGAAATTTGTCATGGACTCAAAGTGCGTAGTGCATAGTAGTAGCTTCTGGTGCCAGTGCAGCAGTAATGCTGTGGATGGCAGAAACAAACCTTGTGCCAGTTCACACTAAAGATTTGCAACGAGACATTTTGAAACTTGCCACTCCCTGCAATGTGCCAGTGTTCTGACGATTCATGCTTCCTTTTCAAAAAATGCTTACTTAATGCAAGTTGATAGCGTCTAACCCTAACCCTACCCCAACCACATACACAAAACGGCAAAGTAGTACACCTTGATAGGTAGCATAAATCGACAGAACACTGGTCTGCAACGTTCTAAAACCTGCCAGTTTACACCGCTGCAACTACAAGACCAGACAGCGTATCGTTTCCATAGCAACAACTCTCCATTAGTTTAATCTAACAGCGGCTTTTCAGGCTTTTTGTAGATTCTTTTTCTGATTTTATGACTTACCTACTATGTTACAATGTTGGCCAAAGCTTCAAATAACGAGGTTAAAGTATTTAAAAGAAATCCCTGTGAGCAAAAACCTCAAATTTCCTCCTGTTCTGAATGCTCTGTTTTTAACTGCTTTTTCTACCTTTCTACGTAATACCGTCATTTGCCCCCACAGCAACAGCACAGCAACGCTCAGTCTGCCGTTACCACCGTGCGACAACAACAGCTTGGTAACATGCTTCAGGTCTTGGCCAATCAGAAGACAGTGGGCTTTATGAGGGGTAGCCTTAAAGAGACAGGAGCATCTACAGCTTGTTTCATACAGAGGCTGAAATGAAGGCCTATATATATGTAAGAGTCAGTGTAAGAGAAAACATTTTTTTCATACAAAGCTGTTACACAGGAGTCGCAGAACTACAATCTGCTCAGTCTCTGTGTCCCACTATGACCAGTCCACCTCTGTCCCACTGTGCAACATAAAAGAGGCACTAAAAGAGGCTCCACAGTCAGTGACAGAAACAGCAGACAGGCCTCACCCATCTCACTGAAGGTAGAATATGGAAGATTCTATTGGAATTTAATATTTGCAACCCACAGACAACAATCCACAAATGTGCATATGATGCACCAATATTTCACTATCCACAGATATGTATTTTTACATTTGTGATGTGTAAAATCAGATCCACAAACATTTTTGCACATTTGCAGATTGCTTCCTGTCAATTTGCGGGTCATGTTACATTTATAACTTCCATTTTACGCATTTGTGAATTTTTTTCCAATGTGTACTGCGGATCATATCCGCAGAAATACAGTGCAGTTTGCAAATATGTACAATTTACTCTGTACACACATTGTAATTTCACATGCAAAGTGTTATTTACACACAAAATAGTTTTTACACATTTGGCGATCACTTCCTGTTAATTTGTGGCTCACGTTACATTTGTGACTTTTGTGTGGACATTTTGTCTAATATGTGACACAAACCTGAAAAAAATAAATAAATAGAAAGAGATCTCATTTATAAACAGTGATACGTACAAAACAGGGCTGGAAATGTGCATACGCCACTTCCCAAGCAAAGGTTGTGATCTATAAAAAACAAACTTGATAGGAGAATGTGGAGTTTTGTAAGTAAAATCTGAACCTGCGTACGCACAAAAACGAAATGGCGACTATCATGGCAGAAGGATGAAACAGTTATGAATGAATAGGCCTAAAACAAATTGAAATATTACCTCTGAGTATTATAGGCTTAAAGCCTTCTTGAATAAAACACCCGTTTCACAAATTTTTCCTGAAGTGCGCAAAAAAAAACATCATTTAAGATCATTTGCAGCGCACACAAAAAGAACCAGATCATATTCATTAATACTTGCATGCAGTGCAATTTCTTCTCATAAATAAGGTGAACAGGAGGACAAATTACAGTTAAATTGATGCCGTTTTCAATGTGCCTATTGTTATCACATGTTTGTTGCCTTATTGAGCCAAACGCTGTACGCCAGCATGTGGATGTGATGCGCAGCTTGTAAAAACACATTATGGATAATATAATAATATAACAGTATTTATTAAGTAAATCTTTCAGTGTGCCGCTTCTGTCGTTTACAACAAGTCATATTCCTTTTAACTCTTTGGCAGTCTCGTTAAGTGAGTGGGCTGTTTGTATAGCGTAAATAAATGTTTAAACACAAGAGGAATGCCTTTGGTTTAATTTCTTTTCAAATGAGGGAATCCAAATTAGTACCTGGGTCATCCCGTCTTGCGTGTGTGTGTCTCCCTCCAGCCAGCGACATCACTACTCAAGAGGGTAATCCGGAGGGCGATCTCAGCTGGGTGTAATCAGTCTGAATGCACCACACCAGTATGCAATTAGACTCACACTACTTCACTGAAACCTATTACTGAAGCGTCGGCTCCTTGTGTGAAGACCTACTTGGGTAAAGACCAGCTAGTCCTAGCTAGCGAGTCCACCGAGCAAGGCCACATACAAGAGCAGCGTCTTTCCTTAAGCACTTCTACTCACCTAAAGCTGACGGCTACAACTACACTCAGGCCATGTGCTACCATACTATTCCTCTTGTCTCCAGTGTACGCAAGAGATATCGTGCCTTTAGGCACAGAAATAAGGCATTCCTCAAGCCTTTAAAACAGACACCGCCCGCATCTGTTTACTTCTCTGTTGGATCATGGAACTGCCAGTCTGCAGTCAACAAAGCTGACTTTATCACTACTTATGCTAACGCATTATCTCTTGGGCTACTGACGCTCACTGAGACCTGGATCAAACCAGAAAACACCGCTACCCCTGCTGCGTTGTCCAACAATTACTCTTTCACCCACACCCCCCGACCGTCTGGGACTGGGTTCTTAATTTCCAACAAATGGAAATTTGCTCAACTGTTACCCCCGAATCAATATGCCTCCTTCGAATATCATGCTGTCTTGGTGTCCGCTTCGGTAAAGGTCTCTGTGATTGTCATCTGCCGTCCACGGGACAAGTGGGTAACTTTGTGGACGAGCTAGACACACTGCTGTCTTCAATCCCAGATCATGACTGTCCATTACTTGTCCTCAGTGACATGAACATTAACTTGGACAAATCATACTCAACAGACTTCCTGTCTCTTATTCAGTCCTTTGATCTAACTCGGGTTCTCAGCCCCCCCGACCCACAAAGCTGGCAAGGTGCTTGACCTTGTTCTTGTCCAAAACTGTCCCACCAAGTGCCTAACTCTCACTTCTCTACACGTCTGATCACTTCTTCATTCATTTCACAGTCTGCCTACAGAAACAGCCCATTGTTCCAGCACCGTTGGTCTCAAACCGCTGCAACCTCCATAACCTGTCTCCCAGTCACTTCAGTGGTAGCATCCACTCTACCTTCCCTCAACACATTTTCCTGACTCAAGGTCAATGACGCCGCACAATCTCTTTGCTCTACACTTAGTTCGTGCCTGGATAGTCCTCTATCCACCAAGCCTGCCCGCCCGAACCAGTCCCACCCATGGCTAACTGATACCATCTGTGGGCTCCGTACTGATCTCAGAGCCACTGAAAGAAAATGGTGAAAAACCAAAGACCCTGCCGACCTTAAGGGCTACCAACTGCCCCTATCCTCCTCCTCAACAAGCACCAGTGCTGCCAAAACTGCGTTCTATAATGACAGAATAAGCAGTGCTACTGACTCAAGGACATTATTTTCCACTTTTAAAACGCTACTAAATCCTCCTGCACCTCCTCCACCCACAAACCTGTCTGCTGATACCCTTGCTGCCTTCTCCACTGGCAAAGTGGCGGCTATAACTAGCCAATTCTCTAAATCTCTCAAAATCAACTATTCAATTCCACAATGGCACTTCACTCTCCTTGTTTACTCCTCTCACGGAGAACGAAGTAACAGAACACCTGACCCATAGCCGTCCCACTACATGCCCACTGGACCCAATTCCTATGAATCTCCTCCAAGCCATATCTCCTACTGTGGTCCCGGCAATCACTCATGTGATAAATACTTCTCTGGCTTCAGGAACCTTCCTGACCACTTTCAAAAGGGCTCAGGTTACACCCTTGCTTAAAAAGCCCTCACTCGACCCAACTCAAGTTGAGAACTATCAGCCAGTTTCTCTTCTACCATTTTTATCCAAAACTATCAAACGGGCAGTCTTCAAACAGGTCTCAGAATTCCTCTCACGGAACAACCTCCTAGATCCATATCAGTCTTGTTTTAAGAGTGGCCACTCTACTGAAACAGCTCTTCTGTTTGTAACAGAAGCCCTAAGGTCAGCTAAAGCTGCAGCCCAATCCTCGGTTCTTATCCTGCTTGACCTATCAGCTGCCTTTGACACAGTCAATCACATGATCCTCCTATTTGCACTCACAGCAATGGGCATCTCGGGTAAAGCACTCCTGTGGTTCGAATCCTATCTCTTGGGGCATTCCTACAATGTTTTGTGGCAAGGACAATTATCCTCTTCCCACTGCCTCTCCACAGGGGTACCCCAAGGCTCAGTGCTAGGGCCCCTTCTCTTCTCAATTTACACCACCTCACTGGGGCCGATCATTTGCTCACACGGCTTCTCTTATCATTGCTAAGCAGACGATACACAACTCTACCTATCCTTCACGCCAGGCGATCCCACCGTCTCGGCGCGGATCACGGACTGTCTCTCGGACATATCTGCATGGATGAAGGCTTGCCACCTTCAACTAAACCTCTCTAAGACTGAACCCTTGGTCATTCCAGCTAGGCAATCTATCCACCATAACATCAAACTACAAATTGGCTCCTCAACCATCACTCCAACAAGGGTGGTGAGAAACTTGGGTGTCATGATGGATGACCAGCTGTCCTTTTCAGACCATATTGCTGCCATCTCTCAGTCGTACAACCTTGCTCTATACAACATCAGAAAAATCAGGCCCTACCTCACTCAATATGCCACCCAGCTTCTGGTACAGGCCATGGTTACCTCTCGCCTCGACTACCGCAATGCCCTCCTAGCTTGTGTGGTGAAACCCCTACAAATGGTTCAGAACACAGCAGCGCGTCTGGTTTTTGATCAGCCCAAAAGGACGTATGTCACTCCATTGCTTTGTGACCTACCCCTGGCCTCCAGAATCAGGTTCAAGTCACTAATGCTTGCATACAGAGTGACTACTGGGTCTGCACCCTACCTAATCTCCATAATACAAGTTTATGTTCCCTCTCAGCCACTACGCTCCTCCAACAAACACTGCCTGGCTCTGCCATCCCTTCACACAAAGCAATCCCAGTCCCGGCTGTTCGCATCTGTGACACCACGATGGTGGAACGAGCTACCACACGCCATCAAAGCAGGGGCGTCCCTCTCTAAATTTCAAGAAGCTCTTGAGAACTCATCTCTTCTGAGAACACTTCCTCTTATAACACCTCTAACTCCTAACTTCTAACATCCACTTCCTGTGCTCTTCTTCTTCTATCCCCTTCAGTTACCTTGTATTGATTGCACTTTTTGTTAACTCCAAGTTCCTTCCCTAGGTATTTACCCCATTGATGCGATATGTGCCATTAGCGCTTACTAGCATTTATTGCTGCTTTTATTAATATGCATTGTCAGTTGTAGATCTTGTGCTGTATTTTATGCTCTGTTAATGATTGTATGTTGTTCCTCAAATGGAAGTCGCTTTGGATAAAATCGTCTGCCAAATGAGTAAATGTAATGTAATGACACAACTCAAGAGGGATGCCCCTTCCTGCAAATTGGTTATAAAGGGATGGAGCTCCGGTGCCCCCTTTTCATCGGTGCACAAGTGTTGAAAGTGCGTTTTTTACCCACCAAACAACCTGCTTCAGCTTCACCAAAAGGAATTTCAGTGTCACACTGAGTTAACCCCATTCCGACTAAATGTAAATGCTACGTACTTGTATAGCGCCTTTCTAGTCTTATCGACCACTCAAAGCGCTTTTCACTGGTGCCTTGGCTCTCCTTAGATCCACAACCAGTTCTTTAGTCTTTGTCACGTTGAGCTGCAGATGGTTCAGTTCACACCATGTGACAAAGTCCCCCATCACAGCTCTGTACTGAGCCTCGTCACCCTTGCTGATACATCCAACCACAGCAGAGTCATCAGAAAACTTCTGAAGATGGCAGGACTCTGTGTGGTAGTTGAAGTCTGTGGTGTAGATGGTGAAGAGGAAGGGAGAGAGGACAGTCCCCTGTGGGGCCCCGGTATTGCTGACCACACCGTCTGACACACAGTGTTGCAGGCGCACATACTGTGGTCTGCCAGTCAGGTAGTCAACAATCCAGGACACGAGGGGGGCATCCACCAGCATCGCTGTCAGCTTCTCACCCAGCACGGCCGGCCGGATGGTGTTGAAAGCACTGGAGAAGTCAAAAAATATGACCCTCACAGTGCTCGCTGGCTTGTCCAGATGGGCGTAGATGCGGTTGTGCAGGAAGATGATGGCGTCCTCAACTCCCAATCGGGGCTGGTAGGCGAATTGTAGTGGGTCCAGAAAAGGGCTGACCACGGGCCGCAGCTGATCCAGAACCAGATGATGATGTGGGAGGTCAGTGCCACAGATCTGTAGTCCTTGGAGTCAATGGGACGTGGCGTCTTTGGCACAGGAACGAGGCAAGATGTCTTCCACAGCACAGGGACCCTACGGAGACTCAGGCTCAGGTTGAAGACACGGTGGAGGACTCCACATAGCTGGGGGGCACAGGCTTTGAGCACCCCGGGACGGACACTGCAGGGCCTGCAGCCTTGTTGGAGTAGAGTCTCCTCATCTATTCAATTCAATTCAATTTTATTTATATAGCGCCAAATCACAACAACAGTTATCTTACAGCGCTTTTCATAAAAGAGCAGGTCTAGACCGTACTCTATGATGTTATTTACAGAAGCCCAACAATTCCCACCAAGAGCAAGCACTAGGCGATAGAGGCAAGGAAAAACTTCCTTTTAAGAGGCAGAAACCTCGAGCAGAACCATGGCTCAGGATGGGCGGCCATCTGCCTCCACCGGTTGGGGATGAAGGAGAGAGAGAGAGAGGGCAAGAGAGGAACAGAGAGAAAAAGAGAGGGATGGAAGGAGAGAGGGGAGGGAGGCAGCCTACACAATATACACACAGAGGTACAGACAGTAAAGGTGATGTTGCTATAGACTAAATGACTAAATGAAAAATGGTATAGATATGTATAGTAGT